AATTAACTCTGTCAATGCTTGTTATTTTAGGTGCTGCAGTAAATCTCACCCTGGTAACCCCTGAGAAGGCCATCAAACTAGCTGCTAATGACTTCTTCCGCCACCAGCTGAGCAGAGATGGGTGAGTAGTAGCACTGACTGAGACTCCTGTGCTGTGATGTCATTCTTTGGTTTTTAACCCCGTCCATGTGTCTTCAGTGGCAGGTTGACGGTGTTCAAGGAGATGCTGGCTGGATGCTGCGCAGGAATGTGCCAGGTCATTATCACCACGCCCATGGAGATGCTCAAGATCCAGCTGCAGGATGCTGGCAGGCTGGGTAATTACAAGAAAATGATCAGAATGAAATATTACTTTTGGATGAAATTTTTGCCCACTGGTGTAAAACAGACACAATAATCCTGTTTCCTGTGTCTGCCAGCGGCCCAGCAGAGAGTGGTGCCCAGCGTAGTCACAACTCTGAAGATGGGTGGCACCAGTGCTGTTCTCAGCCGTTCCTACAACACCAGCCCCGCGTCTCAAGTCATGCGAGTGTCCGCCACACAGATCACCAGAGAGCTGCTGAGAACCAAAGGAGTCACAGGACTGTACAGAGGACTTGGAGCCACACTGATGAGGTGAGATGGGATTTCTGGTTTTCCATCTTTGGTCAACGGTCTTGTGATGTGGTTAACATGCTTGTTTTGTCGCCTTTTCAGGGATATCCCATTCTCCGTTGTGTACTTCCCTCTCTTTGCACATCTGCACCAGCTCGGCCGGCGTTCATCTGAAGACCCGTCTGTGCCCTTTTATTGGTCCTTTATGGCCGGCTGCCTGGCTGGATGTGTTGCTGCTGTGACTGTCAGCCCTTGTGACGGTGAGAGACTCAGTCTATGTGGATAACCAATCACTGAACATCAGCTTTATTCTTACCAGCGATGTAATAAATTCTCAACAAGTTTTTTATATCTTGTGCAGTGGTCAAGACAAGGCTACAATCCATCAAAAAAGGAGCTAATGAAGAAACCTACAATGGAGTGGTGGACTGTGTCAGGTAAATTAGACATACGTCAAACACGCCTTTCCTTCACCAAGGCTCGTATGAATTGCACAGGTTACGTGCTAACTCTGCGCTCTCTTCCATTGCAGAAAGATCCTGAGAAAGGAGGGTCCCGCGGCGTTCCTCAAGGGGGCTAGCTGCCGCGCCCTCGTTATTGCCCCACTCTTTGGCATTGCGCAGGTTGTTTACTTTGTAGGAGTTGGAGAGTTCCTGCTGGGGTACACACCCTACAACATCTACTCTGCATAAACAAGCTGTTTCCTATAGTCTTTCTGCTGCCTCATTAAATCACAGGCAGCTATCTCTATTACTGTGTACCTTCTTTATTGTTGGAGGCCGTCAGAGTAAAACGCTAAAGGGACCAGAAAGATGCCATTTTGGTTCAAAATATTATGCCTTTAGCATAACTCAATCTTAAGAGACTGAAACTTGCCTGTCTAAATAGTGGAGATAATTGCAAGAATAGCAATGCTTTCCTCACTAAGGGACTTGATGGTCCAACATTGACCACCATTTCACTCAGATTAGTCTCGACTCCAGTCAACCTGTCCCCCTGTTTTCTTCCAGTTAGCCCTTATCCCTAAATATGCCCCACATAAATTGCCCTTCACTGTAACCCTAACCTGTGGCCCCTGGCCCATCTTGGAGACCAGTAGGTGTGATGGCTGTTACATGGTTTTGCAAAAGAGACTTTGGAGTACGAAGGAGCATCTACTAAGTAATAAGAGTGTCAGAATATTGAAACATTACTTGAATAGCTTTAATCCTGTTTTAAAGGGTTACATGTGAAACTGGGCCATTGGTGTTGTCTATGTATATAGTGTAAAGCAGATATAATTTGGTAAATAACTTCTCTGACAAAACTATTGTCAAGTAGTTTGGAATGCATCTGGAAAATGGGCTGTTTCAGGGGTCATAGCTTACGAACGAATGAACAAACGAAACATTTGGACTTCCCGTCCACCAGTATGCCTTACAGGGATCCTTTGTTTTGCTTTCCGTTACAAGGAGTGATTTTTCTGTGCTTTGAATTGTTTGCCCATCCTCTTTATCCACACTGCTTTATAGTCAGCCTCAAGACTGTAGCTCACCATAGGTGCTTGCTGGTGTTTATTTTTCACAACCATTGTGGTTGAGGTGTTGAGGGTTATTTTTTTCACTGGGCGCTTTGGGTAAACTCTCTGTGGAAGCCTACTCTGTTTATGTAACATGCAAGCCAGAACTCCGCAGCTCAGTAAGACCTTCTGCGGCTAACTTTGGAGACCTGCTTTTTTGCGGAGAAGGAAATGTTTGATGGTAGTAAACTACTCAGATGTCAGACAAGACTTCTATGAAGGGATTTGATGTGCTTTTGGGACCAAGTCTTCTGGAAAAGGTCTAACATGACCTACACATCGCCACTCTCTCTTTAGTTGCCTGTGGTTGTCCGTGACTGGTCTGTTGGAGATACAGGAGCCCACACGAGTGTATCATGTCAGCCATTTAGAAGCAGAGCAGAGTGCAATGTTGGGCTGCACTCACCCCCCCTCTGGGTCAGAGTACTTTTAACAGTGCTATGTAAATATGTCTCTTGTAATTTTTTCAATTTTCTCAAACTGTGCGGAGTTAAACTCAAATTTTAACATTTCAACGAGTTAAAAGTGTTTAATCAGTTGAGAGGATAATTATTTATTTTCTAAGTTAATTTTAGAAATCCGTATGTGAACACAGATTTCTAAATGCTGAATAAATATTTTAAAATGCAGTGTTTACTTGTGTTATTTCTGGAGCGTGTGCATATTCAGTCATGTATTCTTATTTAGGCCTGTTTAGAAATAGCAGCAGGTTGACTGAAGAGAGCGTAATGCTTTTTTCTGATGCAATCATAAAAGGTGTTGCCCTGCTCCTCTACACATGCATCACCGGCATGGGTACGCTTGACAGTAAAAATGCTCATGCTGCAGTGCTGGGGTAACCCTACCCAGGGGAGTCCTGGAGCCTCTGCTGCATCGCATGCATAACTAAATATTCAGCTGTCCTTAGAGCTCAAGTGCAGAAAGGTGAAACTCTGACACGGAGCTCATGCGGCTAAACCTGGCAACCTACTTAATCACAGGGGATATTGAATACAATCAGCTGGGAATAAACACAAATTCACTTTACAATGTAATAAGTTCATCAGTTTGAATGTGTTTTTAAATTAATTCTTTGAAACTTTGAATGGGTCATTTTGATACTTCACAAGCAGCATTAAAGCCGTGCTTAAATATAACTCATTCTTAGATTTGTAGCAAACTATTCCTCGTACTGTAAATGTGCTTCACTGAATTAGTGCTAGCTTTCCTGGAGATCACGTGATTCCTTCTAAATTTACTCCTACAATTACAGTATACAGAGCTTCATTTGGAAATTGACTACAGATATAAATGTGTGCTGAGATTTATTTTCATTTTACATTACAAAAAAAATAGTTTCTTTTTCTTTCTTAAAGGGAGGGTATTCTTCCTTTTACTCCTTTTATTCTAAAATTCAGTTTGAATAAAAAAACGTGACTATTTTCACATTAGATCTGATTATTTCATTTTTAATAGCGTTTACTGCTGTTTTTTAAAATATATATCCTTCTCTATGTTAAGCATCTTTATGGACTTGGAAAAGCTAAAAAGCACTTTATAAATCTGATGTATTATCATTTGTATTATTATTATGAAAGTGTCAGCCTGTTTAAATTACATTTGGCAAGGTGTGGGGGTTTTATTTTAGTGCTGGAAGTGTATGGACTTACTGGTTTATTCTGGGAACCGGAAACCATGCAGCCAGTGGAGTATGTGACTACAGATTTGTGTGTAATGGTGGAGTCTTACTCTGAGAGTACAATTCAAAGATGAGATTTAAAAAGCTTTTGACAGAGATTTTGATTTTTTGCCAAGTAACCCACCTTTGAGCCTTTTCCCAAAGAGCAGGTTGACTGAGTTATCTGGATACCTTTGCTAAGTAAAACACACAACAACCTCAAATCTGGAGCATAAAATGATACAAAAAGACCTGTTTTGTCTTTTTAGGAGCAAAGTCATCCAAGTAACTCAGTAAACATAATAGACCCATGGAAGCACCAATTTCATGTGATGAAATAAACGGTAGTGGAATGTAACTGAGTACATTTTACTCCCGTATTGTAGCTACATAAGTAGCCTACAAAGTACTTTTACTTTACTTGAATATTTTAATCTCATGCCACTTTCTTCTTCTACTGCACTACACTTTCAGAGGAAATATTGTACTTTTTACTCCACTACAATTATTTTATATCTTTAATTACTAGTTACTTTACAATTTATGATTTTTGCACACAAAACAATATGAAAATATACAAAGATTAGCTTTTTGATTGATTGACAGAAATATTTTTAGATTTTTCATGCCAAAAAGCTTTGCAAATATGTGGATTTGCTGCTTATTTTATTTCAGTTTATTAAACTGACGGTACAGTGGCGCAGTGGTTAGCATTGTTGCTTCACAGCAAAAGGATTCCTGGTTCAAACCCTTGGATGGGGGAGTCCTTCTGTGTGGAGTTTGCATGTTCTCCCTGTGTCAGCGTGGGTTTTCTCCAGGTACTCCGGCTTCCTCCCACAGTCCAAAGACATGCAGGTTAATTGGTGACTCTCAATTGTCCGTAGGTGTGAATGTGGGTGTGAATGGTTGTCTGTCTCTATGTGTCAGCCCTGTGATAGTCTGGCGACCTGTCCAGGGTGTACCCCGCCTCTTGCCCAGTGTCAGCTGGGATAGGCTCCAGCCCCCCGTGACCCCTAACAGGATAAGTGGATACGGAAAATGAATAACTGAAAGTGATTTTGATTGTAACATTTTTCTTGCAGGACTTTTACCATTAACACAGTATTTTTACAGTGTGATGTTAGTGCTTTTACTCAAGTAAAGGATCTGAATACTTCCTCCACCACTGCAAATGAGACACAGGAAACAGAGTAAAACTTTACAAGCTTTATTAAACTTCAAACACCTATCTTCCTGAGAAGCCTGGAATGGTATTAAAATAAATTAACACACAATCAACTACGAAAGGCTCAACTGTGTACACAGTGTCTTATTTTCGTGCACAGTGCGTTACATCTCCAGATTTGCTCCAACGAATACAACTGAGGAACACAGCAACAGCTTTGTGGATCGAGTTGCGCTAAAACTGTTCCCAGTTTATCCCGTTTTAACTCCGCAGAGCCTCTGAAGTGACAGTCTAGTGACTCTGCTGTGTCTCCTCAATCCTCAGAGTAAACACTGCCTGCTGGAGTGGTAAGAAAGCCTCAATTGTGTCACATTACACTGAAATTAAAAAAAAAATAGACCAGGTCTTGTGTTTCACAAACCTTGATCATTTTGTTAATACAAAGAGGCTTTTGAAATAGTTGGCAGATAAATCGTTGCTCTCACCACTTCAGCTCTCTTGGCAGAGACGACACAGTCAAGTGTGACACTTTGAAACACACTGAAACAATAACGGCGAGTCGAGCCGTATGTGCTACTCGTCGAGTGTGTGTGACAATTGCAGTCCAACTCTAAAAACATATGTACACTTTTGCTACGATCCTTTGCTACGTTCAAAAATAGCTCGTTATCAAAGAAAGGCACATTTAGAAGCTGTTTTAGTCGCATGGATTTGCTTTGACTATTGCAAACACTGTCATAACTACATGGACACTGTACAACTACTGCAAGCCTCTGTCTACACACAGCATGTTAAATAGATACTATCACATCAACCACAGATAATGTACAACTACAAGGAAACTCACACATATTTACACACCAGAGTCCTGGAATGAACCCTACACAATTAACAGTGGCCTGATTGAGCCTGGATCAATTGACTCCAGATTTTGTGTGTCTGTCCAGCCCTCTTATCTGCTGAGGTTGATGAGATGAGAGGAACCCAGGGGTTATTCCTCAGTTTTTGTTTTGTTGCGGGCGGTGTACTCTTAAGGCACAAAGGGGGAAAAAGACGGAAGTGGGAAGAGATCAGAGGTCTGACTTGGATAACCAAAATTTCACAGCCTCACTGCCTATTCTCAGTTAACCGGCTAGCGTATATTTAGCCTGTAAACACGTCCATATGATCCTCCTGACATACAAACAACAGAGACTTGAGGATACTCTGTTATGTAAGGAGGCAAATATATACAGGGAGCTTTTCCTTTGGGATGTTCGGCTGGTGTGTGCTTTAGATTTTTGGATTTACTTTTCCTGACACTCCAGGCAGCTTTTTAAATTAACGTCTGTTTGATAGAAGACTCTGAAACTTGCTTGGGTCGTGTAATTTACCACCACGTGGGTTTAGTTGTTTAAAGGAATAGTTGGGAAATATTTTTATTCACTTTCTTGCCAAGAGATAGATGAGAAGATCTATACCACGCTCATACAGTGGCGCCCCAAAGGGGGGAGGCCATGTCCTCCGATACTATCACTGGGCCCCCCGCTGTGACACCTACTTATGGAGGCTGCCATACTGTCTTTAAGAGCCTGTTCCACACTTTTTAGCTTTTTTAAGCTGGTGCAGAGGTAGTGGTATCTTGTGAAACAACCTAAGGCATCCATTGGTGCCAACCATGTCAGCATAGCTTGTCAGGAAGGGAGCTAAATAATGCTAGGCTAAATTTTGGCGAGGGAACAACTGGCATGACCATTTTCAAAGGAGTCCCTTCAACTTTCACCTCAAGATATCTGAATGAAAATGGGTACCCACGAGTCTCACCTAAACTTGACATGGGTCGCTCCCAGAAAATGTTTTGTTCCTTACAATGAATGTACTTTTAAGGAGGACAACCAGTCAATTTGAAGAACAATGAATCGCCTAACATGTACAAATACAAAACACATAAAAAAAGGATTGCGGAGGAACTGAAAATGTTAACTGTACCAGTATTAGCCTATGTACATCAGATGATTAGTGACTTTAAATGTAAAAAAAGAAACCAAAGTATATCAGCATGTGATTCTTTAACTCTCCATATTGAAAGTTTTCAAATTGCCTACATACTTCAACAGCATAATGAAATTCCTGAAGTTCAGTTATGGCTTTCAGTTTTGGTGTGCCACCCTAAGGCCCCTATAAAAAAATTTCTGGGGCGCCACTGCTCTCATGTCTGTAAAGTTAATGTAAAGCCACAGACAGCAGCCTGTTGGTTTAGCTTAGCATTAAAAAACAGAGCCAGGCTACCTGTTTCCCCCTGTTTCCAGTCTTTGTGCTAAGCTAAGCTAACCAGCTGATGTTGGCAGCTTCATGACACAGTAGTGTTTTCAATCTCCTAAACAAACTCTCAGCAAGAAAGTGAATGAGTGTATTCTCCAAACTGTTGAACTACTTGTATAGAGTTGTGAGAGCGGAGTGAGAGTGTTGTGTGCGCGCTGGGGCTGCATGATGGATGCATTCGCCGAACACTCACTGGCCATTCCCTCTCTTAACACCCCACTCTGATTCAACCAATCAGGATTCCCTACCAGATTCCAGACAACCTTTTTTAAGGCTGTGGTCTCACATAACACAACATTGCTGTGCTTGTGTGTCCGTGCGTGTTCATGTGTGTGTTTGTGTGTGTCAATTCGTGTACACGGATAAGCAAACTCAGCTGCTTTCACCTCAGATTGCTCTTGCTGGGCTAAAGTTTCCCACAGCCGAGGGGTCAGCGTCAAGGCTGTGTGAAAAAGCATTGACACCACTGCGACAGTATGTGGGTCAAAATTTGTGATGGTAGCCAAATGGCCATGAGGAACAACAATTTTACAGATTGTCTGGTCAGCATCAGAAATTATACTGTTCCCACTGGATATGCGGATGGTCTTATCAGAATGGTATGAGCGCATGCTATTTTGCTTGTAAATAAATAAATAGAAATTGAGAGAATGTAACAGAAGGTCAGGCCAGGAGAGCTGGTTTGAGCACCATAGTGAAAAGGATTTTTTTGAACATGATCTATATCCTGGGTCCCTGGATGGATGATGGACAAAGGTTGACATTTGATCTGACGGCTGTACAGTCTTTCACGGCTGGGGACAGGAGGTCAAGGATCCAGCTTAGATGACCTCCCTGCTGTTGCGAATAGCACAACAGAGCACCATACTGAAGATCATCCCAATGATCTGCAGAAGAAAAAAGATTTTTCATTATTCAAAAAAAAAATCACTCTCACTCGTAATCTGTGTGTGTTCCTGTGTGTTCCTTCTCATATCCTGACTCACCATGACTCCAGCGATGCCGATGCCCACGTATCCGATGATGTAGAGTTTACTGTTGAAGAAGTCCTCGATGCCTGTGTCACAGTCCTGCAGACCAAAGTAAAGTCGAGTTATGCCAGGCTCACACAACACGACATTTCTGTCTGTCCCGACGGTCACTATGTCACATTAGACAATTGTGGAGTCATAAAATCGTGCCGTGACTTGGCCGACAGACATGACAGACTACACGATGGCCCACACCAATCATGCCCGGTCATCTTTTACGACGTGTGTGATGTCATCAGGTTATTCTTGGCCTATTTCATTGTGGCTGTTGATGTGCCAGCTGAAATTTTATTGTAGTACCGTAAAAAGTGCCACCAGATGACATTTGAAGTACCAAATGCAAACTGTGCAAGTCACTGAATCCTCCACAACAAGTTCCTAATCTTTCACAATAAAAGCCTATTTAGAAAATGAAGGGATTCTCTCAACCGAAATTAGAATGGGCTTTTAATTTTATACAGAGACAGGAAGTTTTGAGTTTGAAATGATGACGCCATGCATTAACTTTATCAAGGCAAACAGGAGCAGATTAAAGGTAAAAATAGAAAATTACAGAGGGAATAATGAATGATTGAAGTGCCTCTGCTGTTTAATTTTTCTGTTTTTACTCTGCATGGTAACGTCCCTAGCGGAAATATCAAAAAGGCTGGAGTGTTGTTGTCGTACAATTGTCCACAGCAGCAGATCGCTCTGTGCTCCTATTGGTCAAAGTGATGGGTCTGACAGGAACAGTCGTGAAAGACCAAAAAAAAAACCCTCAAAAAAACAATCATGCTAGACTTTTCTGTCAGGAAACAATGGATTATCGTGCATGACACTCGTTGTCGTTCACGATCCGAGCCGACACCGCACAACACTGCATCTGGCTATAATCAGACTGATATCATGTAGTGTGTACCTTGCATTAAGCAGTGTAATGTTCAGGTGAACCAAGCTGATTTGTACGGCGCCGTGACTCATTCATTAGACAACAAAGGTGCAGAATTCAATTTTCAAGTCTGGAGCTGGTGACAGATTTTACCTTAGTATCTTCTGGGGGATTAGGGCATGGGTTTTTTATGGTTCCACAGCACTTGAGCTGAAAGTGAGAAGAAAAACAATAGGCTGATATATGATATATATGATGGAAGCATGTATAAGCAAATTCCTTTTAATATGCATTTTTCTGCTTTAAAGGAATACTTCCCCCAGAAAATGATCATTTGTATATCTATCACTCAACGCTTGTTATGTCAAATTACTGAGGAATGAATTGAGACATGTGTTATACTCTACAAGTTGTGTGAGAGTTTGTAAATGGATGTTTTGATATAGTTTTGCTGTTGTTATTTGCAACCTCCCTTTATTCATTTTGTGGGTGAAGTATTCCTTTAAGAACAGAGTGTTACTCTAACAAATATATTTTACTTACTACTTTCTGGTATGACATGATCAGTGTGCCGTTATTGTTTTCATTGTAGGTTGTTGCGTAGAAGGTCTGAACATCTTTGATAATCTATGTGAGAGAGGACAAGTGAATGACGTGGTGTCGTTATGGTTCACCAAACTCACTGCACTCAAGCAGTGAGCTCAAGCTGTGATATATTAAATCTATAGAAACATACCTTGTCTTTGTTTAAGAATCCAAACACCCCTGCTGCCACCTCAGCGCCAAAGATGATCAGCAGACAGGCGAAGAACTGAAAAGATCCACAGTTGAGGTCAGTAAAGGTATCAGACTTAAAATGTTAAGACAAAAGCATTTTAGTTCTGTTCAGTTTGTAAGCGTTTGCACTTACTGAACCCAGCAGGCATTGAGATTCCCGAACAGCTCCACAGCAGCCAAAGAAACCGACCAGCATCACCAGACTGCCAGCACCGATCAGGATATACACACCTGGAGGAACAGAGAACAAAAGACACTTAACATCCAGGCAAAGGCAAGGTAAATAAGACCGTTAGCCATGAGGCAACAACCACCAGAATACCTTTTCATTTGATATATTCTATTAAGCAACATAAGTAAGATATACCAGCCTAAAACGCTTTTAAAAGTGGTTTGACCCCCCCCCCACCTCATGTCAGCTTCTCCCTGCTGGTTCAGCTGGCCATTTTAATTTGCAGAAGCACCAGCAGGGGGCAACACAGCGCTAGATTTGTGAGTTGAAACAGTCACTGCTGCCACTCAGAGAAGCTCAGTTACACTTTCAGACCATACTTCTTCAGTGGTCAACTGATCAAATGGCAGCAAACTGAACACAACTCCTTTTTATGATTTCCACACATATATTTTTTTTTTTCACTGTGTCCTCACATGAGATGCCTTGTAAATAGTGATTCAAGGGGAGCTCCTTTAACGGAGGGCCCTGATCTCCTATTAACCCTCTCATTAGAAAAGGTACATCATGCTCAGGTCTGCAGGGACGAATCCAACAACAGATTAGTTCCACCACTCTTCCTGGTGGGGTCTGTTGCCAGGCGACAGCTCTGCAGAGGACGGGGTGAGGGAGGTCGCGTCGGCCCCCCAGGTGCTGTGGGCTCAGGTGGGAACGAGAGAGGAATACAGCTCATAGGATCCCCGTGTGTCGACAACAAGACTCGATGTGATACAATAATTGAGTTGGGTGCGTCACTTCTTTTGTTGTTAGGAGGGAGACTTTAGTTGCCGCCTTAAGGTGTCACATGATCGGTTCGCAAGCTGATCAGCTTCCAACTCAATACTACTACCACTACGTCACTACATTTGCAATTTATACCTCTGTTGCAACTAGTCTGCTGCTAAAGGATTGAGAGCAGGGAGGGACAGAGTGCAAGGAGCACCTCTATACTACAGATGCCTCGTTGCCGGTTGCCTGGAAAATTAAGCACCCCGTCTTTTGACCACGATGCAACAATGAGGGGGCAAAACACAGAACAGGAGGCAGCTTCCTGCAACAATCCCTGACTTCATCTTACAACACATTTTTATACCAAAATCTAAAAAAGACAACAGCTACATGATGAAGGTCTTGCTGTGCATTCCAAAAAACACTGAGAAAACTCTTCCTCTAACCTCGGCAAGCACATCGAACCAATCTGCACATACTGTGGATGAAAATGACGTTCAAACTATCTAGCTATGTTAATTCTTCATGTGTAATGTTAGGAAGAGACGGTAGACAGGAAAATCTAAATACTTTCACTTGCCCTCACACGCTAAAAAATATAAAAATGGAAATAAACTTGTCCTTTGAGAAATTATTGACCACGTACTTGTATACTTTTAATTGAATAGGTTTCCCAAATGACGATTTTGGCTTTTACTGGATCCATTTTTATGGGAGTAATTGTACTTTTGCATCAGTATAGATCTTCCGTGCTCCACCCACCACTGCTCAGCGCACTGGTGATGCTGCTGCAACAACAAACTGAACGAGACACTGTTTGTCTTCTTGGTTTCGAAAGGAAAAACAATCTGAGGTTCTTTGTTATTTTCTTATAATTCGGCATTTCAAAGTACAGAGACAGGGAAAGTTTTGTGTGGGTGTGATGCCATGGCAACAAGGCATAGCAACTGTTGCACGCTCTCAGCTGTGTCTGCAGGGACGGCACTCTCACTGTCAAAGCCATGTGTAGCACCATACTCTCAGACTCTCAGAGGACCTGACTTCGAGGAGCCACCCATCATCAGTCAGACCACTTGGACATCACACACACACACACACACACACACACACACACACACACACACAAAGTGACGAAATACCTTTACTGTATTATAGGCTTTTGTGAGAAAATAACACTTGTCTACCGTCACACATCCTCATCAGTCTTGGCTTCAGAGAGCAAAGTAAAGTACCAGTGAGGAAGAGAAATGTTTAGTCTGGAGACTAAAGCTGACATTATCATACACTGATCGCTGTGATCAGATAGTGGATGTCGAAGGGTAGTCCTACACAGGACAGCTAAACACCTCTCTCTCCTCTCCTCTCTCTCATTTAACGTCCCGTCCTGTTTTTTCCTTCAAGTCTCTGCCATGGATCCCCATCTGTTTCTATGATTGCCCTCTTCCATGTGCCTTTTTATCTGTCCCAACACTCAGCGTCTCCTCCTCCTCCTCCTCCTCCTCCATCTCTCTTTCCATCTGGGCAGGGTGACTGATTGAAAGGTGGTTAGCAGCCCTGTGGTTTCCCTCGTGCATTTACACTCTATGTGCAGCAGTCATTTCCTGTTATTCGCACTCATCTCCAGCCTGAAAGCAGCAAGCACACACCTAATAATGAAAAAACAACAACATGAGAGCCTGTTGCATTTGGAAATTTAATGCTGGCAAACTTGCTGTTGGGACACCCACGAAATCCTGAAACTCACACACAAACAGACTGACTTGTGTAGAGGCACTGAATTATTTTCCCCTTACAGCCTTTCTGTGCATGTTTTGGCTTTTATACGTGCTTGTGGTCGGAATATCCCCTCTGACATAGAGACAGTAATTTATTCACAGGCAAAGGGAACTGCACTGAAACATGTCAATAAAGAATTTTAAAGCCCCCCTCCAGACTGTAAATGACAGAAATAAAAGGAACATGGCATTTTGATGTTCATAATGGTACTAATGTGTGTGTAGCCCATTCAAAATTGATATTAAATTAAATCTGCAAAATATGGGTGTGATTTGACAATGGGGTCATGATGTGTAAATGTGATTTTCAATACTGCAAAAATAAGACCATGCCATATATTTCCATTCCTAATATCAGTCAGCATAGAAGTCCAACTGCTGATACTTCAAAGTGAAACATCTTAACTTTCCTTGACCCTTTTCAAGTGGTTTCTGAGCAACATAAAAAAACACACTAACAATGCAAAATATGCAACAACGACAGCAGTGCTTCAACGGACTTTGAAAAAACCTGCCGTGAATTGTTCAACATATGTACTGAATCAACGGCCTTGTATTAAATTTGATGCAGCATAAGGTCGGCCAATGGGACAGTATAAACTATACTGTGTGATGGCAGAAAGATGTCCACCAGTAAAGATTGGCTGTACTGTTTCTACTGCAGGAGCAAATCAAGGACGGACTCTTGCATGACTTTATAATTCTTACGTAATCTCAAGATTTCGCATGTCCAGCTGACTCCACAATTGGCAAAAGCCATGAAGGAATGCTTCACCTGTAAAATGACCATTTGACCATCTGTATATCACTCACATTTACATTTTAACTTGAATGTGTGAAGAAAACTCTGATTTTCTTGCATGCCTTGATGTGAGCTGAGAAAAACAACAAAAAATGTTCATGAATTTAAATAATGAGGTCCGCGTTTAACAACAGTAAAACCAGTGGTGCTGTGGAAGTTGATTAAGTGGGTGTGCTAATAAGTAGATGGGTAGGTTACCAAGGAGGAAGTTGGTATACTCTCCTGTATATTCCAATAGCTTATTGGTTGATAGGCAGGTATATTGTAAACAGCCATAAAAAGAGGCGGCCATACCCCGTATACCTGCGTACACCCTCCACTATGCCACTGATGCATTTGCGCTAAAACGTTACAATATAAATCACTCCTGCATACAAGTAGCACACCCTGAACATGAGCATGCTCATGAGCTCCACTTGAGCAGAGTTCAAATGCACGCACATGTTCAGGAACACTATTTAGCTGTGCATGAGATCGTTTGTACTGACGTGTTTTAAATCTCAGTGTTTTCGTAAAAATGCATGCATTTTGGGAAGTACTGATCATACGACTAGATAAATGACACTTGGATTATAGTGCACGAGCTGTGTGAGAGTTTGTAAACAAATGTCTTTATATAGATCAAATCATCACCGTTTTCTGTGGAGGCATGCTACACAAATGTTTTCTTCATTACAGTAATTCAAGGTAACAAAATGGTGATTTTGTGGGTGAAGTCTTCCTGTAATGCAGCATATTGTTACACACCTACGCTGTGTGTGCATTGACTGTGGAGATCAGCTGAAGTACGCTATGGTACTCACCAATAAAAAAAGTGTCTGGAGCTTTATCACCGTTGAGGAGAGAGACAGTCTCAGGGTCAAAACGCAGCCACAGTCCCACTGCCAGAACAAAGGATCCCATCAACTGCAGAGAGAGGAGAGACTTGAAATAAGCTCTTGCTGCATATCACTTATTATAGCCTGTACTTTCTTCAGAAAAATACATAGAAAACACTGACAAATAAAAGCAGTAGACAAGTGGTCTACAGTCTGTCGAGACTCGGGCTTTAATTGTAACCGAACCCTAATAAAAACCAACTGTAGATGTAATAATCATTAAAATGACACATGGTTGCGGTCATTACAGCCAATAACTATAAAGTAGAGAATCAATTTTCCATTATTTCATACTGAAACACGTGTCTCTTATCATTTATATCCTGGCTTTAGATCTGACGTCATCGCTGTAAATTGGTTTCAGCATTCAACAGAAAGGCTACAATCTTTTCATCCAAAGCACAACGGTGGAAGTGCATGATTTTGTCAGGCCTTCGGAGGGCTTGTTCTTTTGCTCTCTCCAAATGTGATTTTCCACATAAATATAGCAAATGGTGCAGTGGAGTTTCCACTCCGGCCCTCCACCCTTTGCACTTAGGCAGCAGGAGTATAATCTCAATAAGAGTGAGGCTAAAAATGAATATTTTGTGTCCAAACAATAGGTCTGAATATCTGTCTACATCATCTGTGTGTTCCAAACCAACAGATCCAAGCAAAATGTAAGTTATGTAACTGTGAAACACTCCTCAGTGATGTCTGGCGGCCCACTAGGGAGAAAATGACCCGCTTGGCTGTGGGCAGCAGTGTGGCACCTTGAGCTTAAACAGGCTCTCCTGTTTGTTTGGAAATGTGGTTACATGTTGCTCATATTTTCCTTCATCTAAACCACCATGTGCATACATTGAGCAAAATCATACACCCTGCAATGCTCCAGCGCGAAACTCACTGCGGCAAAAAAACTTTTATCCTCTAAGTGGTCAGAGGACTTTGAAGTAAATGCTTTGTTTTCCTGAGATCTGAGATGCTCTCAAGAGCAGAGACTTGCGGTGGGCACTTCACTGAGAGGTCAATACTGAGAGGTTTTAATGATCACCGAGCCCATGCCCCCTGAGGATAATCCAGGCTAAAAACCTTCTGAGCTGGGCTTCAAAACAACACAGTGTGTGTGTGTGTGTGTGTGTGTGTGTGTGTGTGTGTGTGTGTGTGTGCGCGCGCGCTCAGAGGAATAAAATGATTTGTCTAAATGGAGAGTATTTAGAAGTGCTTGTCACATGGTCTCTGTGTCCTAGATCTCAGAATTTAGGTAGACTGTTTGTGCAACTGTTTGTTTCTATGTCCTCCAGCTCTGCTAAGTCAATTTATTTAGAGAAACAAACCCGAGTTGCCAAGTTCAGACAAAAACAAACTGTTCCACGTCTGTGTCTTAATTCAACTTTGTGCCCTCTTGTTTACCAAACCCACTGCGCCTTTTTGTGGTTCTGCAATTTCTCTTGTTTCATTCTTAATCCTCTCATTCTCACTGTCTACACTCCCCTCCTCCTCCACCCCGGCTCCACAGGTTATATTTTACGGTGTTGGTGTGAAGTAAAGCCAGTAGCTCAGTTGTAAAGCATCGGAATAGGACAGGTGTTGGGAAGCCGACTTCCTCTCAAACTGAGGATTTACTGTCATGCGTGGTGATGTATGGGACAGCTGAGCTCTTGGGGTTTCAGGATTAGCAGGTCCAAAGTGATAAAGCACAGTGAAGTGAAGGTTGCAGATATGTAGACTTACTGAACCAGGCTGGATTAGTGCGGAGAGGCGCTCTGGATCTATTTAACCCCGGTATGTGTCGGAGCACCTGATGGTGCGGTGGTGTTGCTGGAGGTGTGAGGTGAGGACTGCTGCCCAATGTGGATATGCACACAGCGCTAAGAGCTGCAGCTAGATTGCGTGTGTGTGTTAGCGGAGGACGAGGAGGAGCAGGTGGTTGTTTCACAGTCGAAAAAAAAAAAAAAGCTCAGCCAAACCTCACTTCTATTACGGCTGCATTTAAAAGCCTTTTTGAGAGTTAGATGCATCAATGGATACCGCAGTGAAAGGTCTCGTTTTAGAGGAGTGGGGCTGCATCCAACACTGCAGGCAATAGCGGACACGCTAAGTACATTCTCAACCCGACTATCCCAAAGGTCCCATTAACCCCCTCACTGCTTACACACCCCCCTGCTTTACCCCACCACCACCACTTTGTCTGCCATCATTACCCTGTCTGACACCAGACACACCCCCTCCGTTCTCTCAGCCTCACTACCTCCCTAAACTACCACCCCGCCCCTGACTTATCTCCATGTGTCCCCCCCCTCCTCTACCCCACCTCATCTCGCCCCCCTCTTTCCAAACCTCACCCAAAGGACAAAGACCCACTGTCTCCCTGTGACTATACGTTTCCGTGCACAATAGGAGGGAAACAGACAAACACAATGAAAGAGGGAAAAGAAAAGAGAGAATAGGTCGTTAGAAGACCCATCATCTTTTTTTTTCTTTGCCTGCACGCACATAAGACAGTAGCATCCTATTTAGAGACCGAGTTAAAACTCCAACCTGTGTCCTATAGGTCTCTAAAACACACATAGAAGTGATTATAGCAGGTACCCTACATTGTCTTTTTGTCCTATATCTGGATATTTCTAGACAGTCATGGAAATCTCTCTGTCGAAGCTTTATTGAGTGTCTTTTACTGTAACAAGGCCTACTTTTTTAACAGTGCTGTTAAATAGTGTTTTTGTGAGGGGAGTTTCCATGAGAACAGGGGCTGAGCTGACACAGGGCTGTGGTCTTGGTCAGAGACAGTCTGGGGCACTATCCACTTTCTAGGTTAGACCTTATTTTCAGTAGAAATACAAAAAAAAGTCGCGCTGTAAATTAAAACAAAAGCGGCATATGAAAGCAAAACATCTGTAAACTACTTCTTTAAACCCAGCAGTAATTGGTGAGTGATTTAAAAGCATCCAAAATAGTCTTCCGTCTGGCATATGTTTGGGAAAACAGATGCAAGCGCACATGTACAATGATGGGCAGAAGGAAAGTGTAAATAGGAGTGGGATAATTATGGGTGGAGTAAATCCCATTGTACTCTGCCACAGGCTGAGGGTGGGGGAGTGTGGTGGCACACATCAACCTCCACAACAGACGAGTGTGTTTGTAGAGCTGGATATTTGGTGCCAAAATTCATTTTAGAGCAGTGCATGTTACTAGAAACCTTTGGAACCCTCTTCTGAATAAATCAATCTCCATTCTGTGAGTGTGTTTTTGAAGTTAAATGATGTCTTACAATAGAAAAATATGATCCTACTTTACTGGTGTAAAAATATTTTTTATGCCTTTCTATTTTTTAATTTTCCTAAGATTAATTTAGATTATTCGACAATGAAAGTAGGACTGCATTTTAGCTATTTGTTTTGTTATGGTAATGAAGCCCAAGATTTGAATTAAAGTCCATATGGTGTGGCAGCAAAAAAACCTTTTTACCAAATAATACCCTGCCAATCATGCTGCTGAATCTAACGTCAGCCACATATAAACTACTGTAGGCTATTGTATATAACTTGAAATGTAGTCTATTACTCTTTGTTAAACATGTTTAGCTCGATCTATAGCTCTGAACTTAATAGATATCTGAGTTTGTGAAACTTACCTCTCCCAACATGTTGTCTGTTATCTATTACCTCTACCTTTAATGAGTCATCCATCCAGGAAATACAAGTTTAATCAGAGTGCCCCTGCTACATAATGTCAGAAGCTTGAAACAGCCCCTCTGCATTAACTGAGACAGTTTGGCAAGGAACTTGGTTTCGGGATTAACGTTTTGTAGCCACATACAACACATTCTCACTCATGGACTTTCCATGTCGAGATATGATGTGCAAGGTACACTTGATGCGTTGGTTCGCCAAGATAATAATAACAAAAACAGTGTTGATGTTGTTAAATGACATAATCTCCTACCTTCACAATTAGCTCAGACGTTTCGCATAACTTTTTTTTGGCTTGGAATTTGATAGACAATAAAAATTCATGATAGGGTTAGGGTTTGGGTTTGGGTATGGGTTAACCTTACACAATATATTAAAACCTAAAATTACCTAAAGCAGGCGAAAAGAACTTCTTAGTAGATTTTAGTAGAAACTTTGAATCGGGATTTGTATTTAATCATGAATACTTCAAGAAAAAATTTAACATTTGTTGGAAAAGTCAGTCAACAACATATGGGACACATGGCCATTAAAATGCAAGGTTCATATGGGGACGGGTAGGACAAAAAATAATTTGCCAATGTTTTAACAATCTTTTAATAGTAACTCTTATTTTTGACATTTCTTCTCACTACACCACTAACTTTGATTCTAATGCTAACTGAATACAATACTTGATTGTCACACACACATGCACAAGAAGGTGGAGGAGATAGTGATGACATTCTGAGTTTTAAAATGAGCACTGATATTCCTAAAACCTGCAAAAAATCTGCAGAGTTCTGCAGGCACAGATTTTGTATGGGCCTGTTTATCACTGATGTACATTAGAAACAATATAGGACCCAGGACACTGCCCTGGTGGACAACGTTGGTCACAAGTTTCATTCCAAAAATTAAAATATCATCATAAAATATCAGTATTTTGGCCATGCCATTTTAGGCCCTGACACACCAAGCCAACAGTTGGCCATCGGTCAGTGTTGGGCCATCAGTGAGCGCCTTGTTGCCCTCATCAGTTCAGTATATCCTGCACTGCTGCCCCACAATGTTTTTTTTTTTTTTGGCCAATTCAGTATATTGATTGGTGATGGTGGAGCCTGTCTTTGAATGAAATCACACTGATTGGCAGATTAACTCAGCACAGGAGAGGAGTGAGGAAGGTAAACAAACAGCTAAAGTCAAGAGGGAGTGAGCCCAAAAGAAATTTGTTACACAAGGTAAGATGTTCAGATTATTATCAGATCAGACAGGTCTTTGTGTTACTAGGTTTTGTGCTGGTCAGTGTTCAGCTGTACATTTCTGAAATATCAGTAGCTGTGATATTTAAAGTCAAGCTTATGGCCCTGTTTACTGTTCCTGCCTTTATTTGCCAAAAAGTCTCAGTTATTTTTATGTGACAATGTGACAATAGTCCTATTTGTTAATGTAGATTTTATTTTGTCACTTGCTTTGAATGACATCACTGCTCATTTAGATCTAATAAATGTTTGGGACTTTCCAAACAGGGTCTTTTAGATCTACATCTTTCTCTACTAATTTTCCCTCCTATTCGCTTTCATTTTCAGTTAGGCTGACGCAGTTATTAAAGCTGAATAAATTATCATCCCTTAAATTAGACTACATAAATTACTTTTTATGGGCTAAAAACTATGGTTGTATTTTAATGTAATATCTATTAAGTATGTTTTACATAATGCAGATTAAGACAGAAGCCATTTAATGGCAACTATTTTAACACAGAGTGCAGGATGATGAGGGCATGTTCACTGCCATACATTGACATTATACCTGTAACAAAGATGAGCTGTGTGTTTATTGCCTGAAACTTTTTCCCTTCACAGAACTAAATGCAAGTTTTAGATTTTGTATTATTGTGTTGTTTTTGGCCAGCAGATCAGAGGTGTGGGCTGATCAGACTCAAGTCACAAATTTGATGACTTTAGAATCGACTTGCCAAATTCAATTAAGTCTTGCAACTCGACTTGGACCTCAGCACCTGTGACTCGTGACTTTACTGTGACGTTCCCCTGAGCCCAGCTATTAAAAAGTATGTCATCTATAAAGTATGCCATAAATCTATTCATTTTTTTAAATTTTAATAATTAATAATAATAATAACATTATTCATTCCAAGCAAGTAAACAAATGCCTCCTAAGATGATCCACTTTGTTTGAACTAACCCAGCAGCATCTAGTCAAGTTCATTCATGCACAAAAACTATGCGGTGGTCAACTAAAAACACAAATTGCAGTATGAACATGTTTTAACAAATAAATAAAAACTTTAAAAAACATTCCTGATTTTTGTAAATTATATATACAGTGCTGTTAAAATGGCATTACATGTGGTGGAGAGCGCATTATGACTTGTTTATGACTTGAAACTCAAAGTTTAGGACTTAGGAAATGACTTAGGACATGACTGTCTTGACTTGGTACTTGACCTGAGTGGAAAGACTTGAGGCTCACTTGTGACAAAACCATGACTTGGTCCCACCTCTGCACCAACTCAACAACTCGAGCAATAGACAAAAACAACAGAAACACTGGGAGTTCAAGTATCTCGGGGGGGTTCTTTATGAGTGAGGGTAGAATGAAGCATGACATGGATCAGTCATTTGGCGCGGTGTCTGCAGTGATGCAGGCAATGTGCCGGACTGTCATGGTAAAGAGAGAGCTGAGCCAGAAGGCAAAGCTTTCGATTCACTGGTCCATCTACGTCCCAACCCTCACCTATGGTCATGAGCTCTGGGTAGTGACTGAAAGAATGAGATTGTGGATACAAGCGGCTGAAATGAGTTTCCTCTGTGGGTCGGCTGGGCTCAGCCTTAGAGATAGGGTGAGGAGCTTGGACATCCAGAGGAGAGCTCCTTCACGCCAAAAGCGATCAGTTGAGGTGATTCGGGCATCTGATCAGGATGCCTCCTGGGTGCCTCCCGTTAGAGGTGTTCCAGGCACGTCCCTCTGGTAGGAGGCCCCGGGGCGGACCCAGAACACACTGAAGGGAATTCATATCTCATCTGGCCTGGGAACGCCTTGGGGTCCCTCAGGAGGAGCTGGAAAGTGTTGCTGGGGAGAGCGATGTCTGGAATGCTTTGCTCGGCCTCCTACCCCAATGACCCGACTTCAGATAAGCATTTGAAAATGGATGGATTGGATTGTTACACAACCAAATTGATAACTAAACCAATAGGAGTCCGTTTAAAAATGTGTTGTATCAGTTGTTTTTCATAAGGAGGAAATACACTGGAGGAATATCTGTGGGAAAGACGCTTCATGCAGCACCTCTCAAGCACATCACTGTGACGCAACGCTTGCCCCACACTGTTTACCCCAGGCTTAATTTTTGACTATATAGGGCAGTCAGTGAACTATAGCACACAAACACAGGCCAGACAAGCCAGCAAGGTATTGATGTGCCGTTGCCAGCTGTTGTATTTGCAGCTATCAGTGTAATATATACAAGAGCTTGGCCTGCACTACATTAATGACAGTCTAGTGTTGGAGCGCTGCAGGAATCTCACTACATCATGATGCTGTGACATGGAGCCAGAGAGGTTTATAAACACAGAGACACTTTGTACGTATTGATTGATGACTGTGTTTTGGATGTGTCGAAAGAGGGTAGTTGTACAACTCTCTTCATCACTCACATAAAGCAACATTTGTGCGTTTGAAGTGTGTGAGTGTCCACAGTTCCCATCTGTTGTCAACAGTCAGTGTCCAACAGAAGAGCCACCGGCCTGTCTCTGCCCTACTGTCCACTCACTCAGGGCTCATGGGGGGATTTGAAGGGAAACATATCTGCCCCTCCTCCACCCATTTTCATCACACACACTCTTCTCGTCAGCTCTCACTTCACCATCAACAGATGGAGCCGCAGCCCAGGGATGGATCGGGATGCAGGGAATTTGCAAAACTTGTATTCAGTGAGGACCAAAAAGTGGAGGAGCAACTGTATAGGTGTTTCTCTGGTGCTGTGTGACATGTGGCACACATCCACAGAATATCCCGCCATCCTCATACTGATCTGATTTTCTGTCTTTATCTGGGTCAGCTCTTTAGCCATGCGAGCGCGTGCACACGCACATGAATATCCCTCTCAATCTCCCAATGACCCTTTTCTCTCCCATCACATTTGTCTTTCTTTCTCTATGTTTCTTGAACATGTCTGTCAGACACTCTGTCATTTCTCTCATCCTAACTTCTCTGTCTCTGCACATGTCCACACTCTGATGTATTAAAAAAAGGTTGCAGTAACAGCCACACCCATCCTGTATATGGGGGGTAGTGGTAAGTGGACATAGGACAACTTAATGGTGGGACCGGTGGGGCCACCGCGTTTAGGGCTCCGGCAGGCTCTGCTGCTTAGCCAGGCAGGAGCAGCAGACTGAAGTTATGCTATTGTCCCGCTGTCACAATGGATCCATTCACGCTGCTCTCAGCGCCTGATCCACTCCACAGATGCTTGTTGGAAAATCTCTCTCTCTCTTTCTCTCTCACACACACACACACACACACACAAAGGAGCGTCCCCTCTGAGGACTGGGAACGGTGGAACACATATGCCAAAGTGCTCCTTTACACACACAAAGGTTATCCAGCAACTTACTGCAGACTTGAAATTAGTGTGTTCTTTTATAGCATGCGCTTTGAATGGACTTTAATAAGGATGTCAGGGTTTATAAAGGCACATGTGCACAGCATGTGTGCAGGACAAACACATACACACCTTTCACATCCACCTGACACTTTGTCTTGAGTAAAGTGACTCTCTTGTGCCTCCTTCAGAGTGCCCCTGTGCTGCTTTTTAAAAACCCAGAAGAGAAGCAGTTGAGGGATCTCATGCCCCAAGATGGTTATAACTTCAGTTTATCAATCAGCTCCGCGCTGTTTGTTAATGGAGTTATGTGGCGCAGGGAGCCAACTGCTGAGTTTGTTTTCCATGCTGTCTCTCAATCTTTCTCCCTCTCTCTGTCTTTTCATTCAGTCTTCCTTTCAAAAACACGCTTCCCCGGGAAAAGGGGGGCGGGTTTTTCCTCTGTGGAAAATCTGATTTGAACCCGGTGAGCCAAAACTAAAAGTCTCTCTGGCTGTCACCCTTTCCGCGCCACGCAGAGGTAAACCCACGCCGGATGGCAACACTAAATTAAGCACACAGGATGAATGCGAAAAAAATTGTCAACTGTCTCAGCATCGTTACGAAAATAACACGTGGGTGTGAAAGTCTGCTGTGCAGAGTGAGCAGTCTGCACTGCTGCACTTGCTCCGTGTTCATTTACGCACAACTTGCATCCCATCGTCACACATGCACCAACAAGCCGAACATGCACTTACCCAGAATATAAAGTTGAACACGAATAAAAGGTATTTCACGCATTTCATTCCTCCTTCCACCTTCGACATTTTGGCTGGATGTGTTTTGCCTTTATCCCCGCAAAATGCTCTGACGGTTGTGTTGGCTCCGCGCGCTGTGACAATAACGGTCCACCCCGGTCACAACACCCGTGCATCAAGGAGCGCCGTCTCTCTCTCTCTCTCTCTCTCTCTCTCTCTCTCTCTCACACACACACACACTCAGTCACTCAAACACCGCAGGATCCGCTCTTTCCAGACCGCCCCTTTCAACAATGCAGAGGGGGGCTACAGGGGGGACCGAGACTACACGATGAGGATTTGTCACTATTTACCTATAAAATGATTTTCACCCTAGCCTATGTTTAGTAGCCCATGTCCTTTTTATATTTGACTACAAGTTTGTCACACCATGGCATTTTCAAGTGCATAAATAGTCAAAGCTGGCCTGAAAGAATAATTTGACACACACTAAGAAAACACACATATCCTCCTGAGACCCTAACTTTTGTTTGAAGTACATTTTCAGTTTCTCCTGGCTATTTGAGATTAGTAGGACCTGATAAGTATAAAAAACTAAACACTGTCAACGATAACAGATAAATAGATAAATAACGCCCCAATGTCCTCAAAGGAGATGATAATGAAGTCCCAATGTCCTCTCACCAGCACTTTACCTTGTTACTGTTGCTAAATTGGTCAAATTTGTACGGCATATCAAACTAGACATGTTATTAATCATAAAATGATCACATCAGGTTTTGGTCAGGATTGGCTGCAGACTGACTTGTCAGAGATGCCTGCCATCTTGTTTTTACATGGCGTTGCGTATTGTGCTCTTACTAACACTAGATGGCACAAAAAAAGTGTCCACGAATGAGGACAACAGGTCTAAGTTAAGCGAAATGACGTATAAAGTCCAGTAAACCCAAAATGTAATGTCCTCATATGAGGACACAGGGTCTCAGGAGGATATAATTGGCAATATACAATCACTGTGCTTCTAATATTCTCAAAATGAGTATGTGATAGGCTAACAACCCACTAATAGAGTTTTTTGTTGTTTACTTGTCTGCTGGTGTCATAAATAAGATGTTTTTCTTACATTTGCTGTCAGGGTTGATCATTATTAGACACTATAATTTCTGTTCATGCTTGGCTTTTTATTCATTATATAAGATGGACTGGTAGTTGTAGCTGAACTATTTTTTGCTACAGGATATTTTCAGCGCTGTGGCTGACAAAAGGATATTTCCTCCATCACGTGTAAAGGCCTGTTATTGTTTGAGGTTGTTTCATATGCTGTACAGTAAATTCTCTTCATGCATACCTCACTGATTGTCCTCACACATATTCAGTGTATGGCAATGAGAAAGAAGCAGTTCAAGTGACCAAGTTTGAGATTTAACTCCTTACCTAAGAAACAGTCAGCATGACTGTGTCAGTGATTCAGCATATTGTTTAGCTGAGTCAGTTTCCATACAGTTATTTGTCCAGCAATGCATAGAGGTTAGTTTGGTTTAGTTTATTTGACAAGAATTCAAATACAGTGGTTAAAGAGTACCGACATATATGATGTTGTCCATGATGACACCATAAAGTCCAGGATTTATTTCCAGTGTGGTCAATTATGCTCCATCAGAACTTAACCGTACAAGATGAAGACAGCCATTCAACAGCTGTAGTGGAAAACACTCAACCACAACGCGCCAAATCCAAACACAGCAACCCACCCACAAATACACACGCCAATAAAACAAAAAAAAAAACCAAGTGAGTAATGACATATTTTCTCCTGTTTGTCATGAGATTGATGCATATTAATAGCAAAACTATTACCAAATATGTCTTCATGCACATAAGTAAGGGAACCAGCTTGTATGATGACAGACTCGCTGCAAAGTCGAACCTCATGCTCAAAGCAAATAGCTCACTATTAAGACAGAGGCTAACCGAGGGAAGGCCTGACCTCTATGAAGGAATTTGTTTGTTTTGCAATCACATTATTAGACAACAGGATTTACTCAATTTCCTTTAATGGACAAATAGTGACAGTGAGGTGTTGAGGCATTTCCTAACTGACACAGCACCTTTCCCAAGCCTTTCCTGTTCATTCAAACAATATGTCGGTGCAGCAATATGAGCCTCTTGTGGAAATAAATAAATTAAAGTGTGTTTTTTATTACTTTAAAGGAAGTTGCCTAATCATTTATCAATATGACCAGCAGATTAATTCTCAGAGGATCGACTGGGAACCAAAATAGTTTCCGCTTCTTTCTGTTTTTCTCCCCATGGCACTAAATTTAGTCCTGGAGTGATGAGTTAAAGATAAGTTTATCTCTTCCTGCCCTTCTTATTCAAGTTGCTTAAATAAGTACGTGTCCTGGAAAACGATTTTAAATCACAAGTCATAGTCTATTTGAGGAAAAAAGACAAAGCACCGTTTACTTTTTATTCCTAAATGCATTGCCCAGCCGTGTTTAAAGCATCAGCTAAACTCAAACAAGACACAAACTAAATGTAGCATTAATGAAATGGAAAGCGTAGCCCCTCTGCTGGATTTCTTCCCTCAGTGTCATCAGTGACTGGAAGCATGTAACTCAGCAGCAACACCATGTTCAACATAAATATTTTCCCCACAACCATGGAGAGCGGGAGGAACGTCCAAAGAGCAGTTCATTTTATCACCGGGAAATTAGGCACTGCTTCGAAAATGTCCTTATAGAGGAACAAAGTGGTCTGCCAAGCTGAATGCTGGAGGGAAGAAAGAGTCAGACAGGAATGACACGATGGAGAGAGAAAGAGGGAGAGAGAGAAGGGCTCGAATAAATGCTTGGATGATGTATTTATGTGCATAATCACCAACATGTTGCGCTCTTCAGCCATTCACACACGTGTCTGTCTCAAAACCAAGCCGTCCCAAACTCTCACAGAGCAGCAAAGTTCGTGCTGCGGCACTCATTAAGGGAACTGTGGGGGGGACAGAGAGAAAACAAATGAGGTTTAGTTTGGACGTTAACCAGAACAGTGCCAAAAGAGGAAAGGCTGATAAGAGTGGGACAAGAGCACTGTGTCCCTGCTCGTTGGTTGTTGTTGGCAGTCAGTGGCCTGGTTGCTATGTGGTTCCAAACATGTGAACAAGAAAAATGCGTGCAGGTCATAACCTCCGTGAAAATAGATAATGGCTGACTAGATCGCTTTACAACTCAACATGATACTAAACAGGACCAGCGTGGCGTTGGCATGGCCAGTAGCTCTCTTCTTCTACTGTCACCATATCTAATATTGTGAGCCAGCCAACTCTGAAACATTGTGCCGTCTATTGTAACCATCTTAATTTCAGTAAAGTCTTTGCTTTTCTCCATCTCTCTTGAATAATAGCTGTTGTTATTTTCCTGTCTGTTACACCCATGTTTGGGTCAGGGCCTGGATCTGAGGTCATTATTGATGACAGACTGTGATATGTGCGTGCTGCAAGGGTCAGTGATTGTCTCACTGTGCCAGGAGGTGAGTGAAGCTGTAACCAAACTGAAGCTTAGTGGAACTGTTGTTGAGTTGTTGAAAATAATAAGCAGCGATTATAACACTTTGATGAGTTAATACCATACCAAAGAGGCAAGAGTGAAAGAGACTTCCATCTGTGGCAGCATAGCACCATCAACTGGTCACACTGCAGATTGTGTAATGTATTTTTCAGGCAAAGTCACCTGAGCACCTGTGCTCGTTATTCATGTACTGGGACATCCATCAATCCATTGTCCATGACTGCTTATTCTATTCAGGGTCGCAGGGGTCTGGAGACGACCCCAGCTGACACTGGGCAAGAGCCGGGTGCACTGAGACAGGCGGCTGGATTATCACGGACCTGACAGGCAGAGGCAAACCATGCACGCTCATATCCACACCAACAGGTTTACAAATGGTCACAGAGAAGTTAGTGGCTTCTTTAAAGGCTTTTTGGCAAAGAGTGTTGTTTATTGTGCAGGTGCAGATTTTGCAGCCAGAGCTTATCTTCATCGTTCTCTCCTCACATGCAGGTTTCCGCCTTGTATGACTTCACAGCTACTGAGGCAAAACTGTGAGAAAATGGAAAACTGTTAACAAACCACAACGCCCATTTGCAGCTCCTGCCAAATCGAGAGGTTATCTGAGGTCACCTTTTGAAAACACCTTTGATCACTCAGCTTTGCTGCGATGAGGTTTCCTGGCAACACACCCAGATCCAAACAGCATCATGTTGTGATCTGTGAGGCAGCAGCATTAGTGAAGGTGAGAGCACTGCCAGACACCTGGGGAGGGTGATGATGTGAGGAGAGGTGCAGGATCCAGCTTTCAGTGAGAAGAGAGCAAAGAGGAGAGCTCTAACAGTCCTCCTTTTTCTCCGCTGTGCATTTAGCACCATTTATCATGTTTTCAACTTCACCACAAGATGGCAGTGTATTCCAACAAACCTGTCAGAGACGTCCACAGTAGAACTGAAAGGATGAGTTGAAATGCTCTTCTTCTCTTTCCAGACTGACGCAAAGATCATCTGCAGTATACAGGGCTGAATTATCAGCCAGTAAAAGTAGACAACTGCCCCAGCTCGGGCCCTAAACCCTTAGACACCCTAAGAGCCCCATAATCATTGTGTTTTAGTTGGTTTGTGGTAATTTAATTAATTGCAAATAAGGAACAAATTCACTAGCAAGGACCATGCCACAATGATATGTCCCTTAAATGCTTAATTGTAGTTCAGGAGGTGTTAGTTGTTGAGGACTGGTGAATGGATGTAAGGGGTTGGGGGGGGGGGGGTGATGGAAGAGGGTTGTGCTCTGTTAGGTTGATCTGTACCGGATATCGGCCAGAGGGAGACTCAGTGTGGGGGTTCCCTCTCAGGCGTTTACAGGCCCCAAGACTGTACCTAGAATGAGACATGGGAGAGGTATGCACCAGACTGAATAACAAGAGATGAGAGGAGAAGGGAAGAGAGGATGAAAGAATGTTGGTAAGTACGAGGAAGGGAGGATGATGGATGAAGGAAAGGGAAAGGGAGGATGAGTCAAGAAGAGACAAAGGCGTGGCCCTGCTCCCAAACCCAAGCTAACAAATTAACCTCATATTAACCGAAATGATAGGGGCATGTTAGTGCATGATTATCAGTTTTGTCTGCCTGTAATGTCAAGAAGCTTTGTC